TAAAACAGTACACAATACTGGGGAAGCCAGCACAACTTGTCCAAGGCAAGGCCATGGAAGCTCCATAGACACATCCAAACTCCCCGAGGGACAAAATTACTGTGCTGAGGGCGGTCGGGAGCATGGTCTCAGGGAATATCTAGCTCAGTTGGGATAACATCGTTTATAAAGAGAATGTTCTACTTTAGTGAGTAGAGTTTGGGGTCTTAAAAGCTTGTGAGTGGCCATCTAAGGTACTCCATTGGTCTCACCGTGTCTGGAGCAAGGGAGAATGAAGAAAACGAAAAACACAAGGAAAAGGTTAGTCCAAAGGACTAATGGACCACAACTACCACAGCCTCCACCAGACTAAGTCCAGCACAACTAGATGGTGCCTGGTTACCACTACTGACTGCTCTGACAGGGATCACAATAAAGGGACCCAGACAGCTGGAGAAAAATATAAAACAAAATTCTAACTCACAGAAAAAGACCAGACTTCTTGGCTTGATAGAGACTGGGGAAACCACAAGAACACGGCCTCAGGACACTCTTTTAGCTCAGTACTGAAGTCACTAAATGGGCACACCAGCACAGTGGCAAGGACTAGAAGGCAGTATGGGACAAGAAAGCTGATAATAGGGAACCCAAGGCTGAGTAGGGAGAGTGTTGACATGTTGTGGGGTTGATAACCAATGTTACAAAACAATATGTGTATTAATTGTTTAATGAGAAGCTAGTTCGTTCTGTAAACCTTCATCTAAAATACAATAAAAAAAAAGTATAAAGATCATAGAAGAAAAAATAGGATCAACTCTAAAGGCCCTAATAAATGACATGAGTAGCATATAAACTGTAACTAACATTACTCAAACACCAGAAGATAAGCTAGATAACTGGGATCTTCTAAAAATTAAACACTTATGTTCGTCAAAAGAGTAGAAAGAGAACCCTACAGACTGGGGAAAAAAATTTCGGCTATGACAAATCGGACAAAGGTTTACTCTCTAAAATTTATAGGAAAATCCAACATCTCTACAACAAAAAGACAAATAATCCAATTGAAAAATGAGCAAAAGACATGAACAGACACTTCATCAAATAAGGCAGCTAACAGACACATGAGGAAATGCTTGAGATCATTAGCCATTAGAGAAATGCAAATCAAAACTACAACGAGATACCATCTCACCCTGACATTACTGGCACAAATCAAAAAAGTAGAAAGTAAAAAATATTGGAGAGGCTGTGGGGAGATTGAAACTCTTATGCACTGCTGGTGGGAATGCAAGATGGTACAACCATTTTGGAAAACGATATCGCACCTCCATAAAAAGCTAGACATAGAAATACCATAGGATCCAGCAATCACACTCCTAGGAATATATCCTAGAGAAATAAGAGCTATCACACAAATAGACATACGTACACCCATGTTCATTGTAGCATTATTCACAGTAGCAAAAAGATAGAAACAACCTAGATACCCAGATGAACAGATGAATGGATAAACAAACTATGACACTTGCACGCAATAGAATACTAGGCAACAATAAAGAACAATGATGAATCTGGAAACATCTCACAACATGGATGAATCTGGAGGGCATTATGCTGAGTGAAATAAGTCAATCACAAAAGGACAAATACCGTATGATGCCACTATTATAAAAACTCATGAAAAAGTTTACATAAAGAAACAATCTTTGGTGGTTATGAGAGAGGAGAAGGGTGGGGAGGGAAAAACACTAACTAGACAATAGGTAAGTGTTAGCTTTAGTGAAGAGTAAGACACTACACAATCTTGGGGAAGTCAGCACAACTTGACCAAGGCAAGGTCATGGAAGCTTCATAGTCACATCCAAACTCCCTGAGGGACCGAATTACTGGGGTGAGGAATGGGGACTGTGGTTTTGGGGGACATCTAGTTCAATGGGCATAACATAGTTTATAAAGAAAATGTTCTACGTCCTACTTTGGTGAGTGGCATTTGGGGTCTTAAAAGCTTGTAAGTGGCCATCTAAGATACTCCACTGGTCTCACCCCATCTGGAGCAAGGGAGAATGAAGAAAACCAAAGACACAAGGGAAAGATTAATCCAAAGGACTAATGGACCACAACTATCACAGCCACCACCAGACTAAGTCCAGCACAACTAGATGGTGTCCAGCTACCACCACAAATGGCTCTGACAGCAATCACAATATAGTGTCCTGGACAGAGCTGGAGAAAAATGTAGAACGAAATTCTAACTCTCAAAAAAAAACCAGACTTACTGTCCTGACAGAGAAACCCTGAGAGTATGGCCTCTGGACACCCTTGTAACTCAGTACAGAAGCCCCTCCTGAGGTTCACCCTTCAGCCAAAGGTCTGACAGGCCCATAAAACAACAGTAGACTAAATGGGCACACCAGCTCAGGGGCAAAGAGAAGAAGGCAGGAGGGGGCAGGAAAGCTAGTAATGGGTAACCCAAGGTCAGAAGGGGAGAGGTTTGACATGTCATGGGATTGGCAACCAATGTGGCAAAACAATACGTATATTAATTGTTTAATGAGAAACTAATTTACTCTGCAAACCTTCATCTAAAGTAAAAAAAAAAAAAAAAAGAAAAGAAATTTCTCTCCCCTGATACCTGTTTTACTACTGTGTGCTTTTAAATGGCTTTCTGAGGATTATCCCTGTTGGTCTGTTATCCTTTAGTACAGCCTACATCCCATGGAATTCTGCAGAGAATATGTGCACATTCCAATCCTGTGTGTCTCTGACCTGGAAAAATGACATCTGAAGTAAGCATCTTGAGATCTTAGGGGATGAATACCTGGGGATTCCCATAGCAGGGGTCAATGATGACATTTTAACTTTCTTGAAGAGAGATGATGATATAAAAACCATGCCCTCTGAGGTCCAGCAGGAAACTCCTTTTGCCCAACCTTAATTATCTGCTTCATAGTGGACCCCCATTTTGATTATTTTCACCTGCCCCCAGTGATCAAAAGTGCCTGAGTGACGTTTCTCAGGCTCATGCTTTGGTTCTTTTCCTCTTTACGTGTGATTTAGAAAAACCTGCTGCCAGGAAATTCACCATTCCTTGGATTCAGAATGAGTTATTCTAAGTCATTATAACTGGTCCCATCTGATTTTTCAACAAGAGAAGATGCAGCCCAAAGGCAATTGGGTTCTGGGAATCAGATAAAATGAGTCCCCTCTTGTTTTTTACCTTGACTGATTCACTAGTTTCAGTGATCTCCATGGGTGGACATTTAGGATTCACAGGAACTTGAAACAACTTCAAGTGGAGCAATTTTTGATATCCTGGTGCCCAGTCTTGCATATTATATTGGACAAATGCGTTTTTCTAAAATATTTATGGCATGTGAATGGCTAAGAGCTGTACCCCAGTCACTGGTGAATATTCCATAATTGATCTACTTTGCCAGTTTAGGTCAGATCCTAGGGTACTGCAGTGCAGTTGTCATGGATTGAACTGTGTCCCCCAAAAATATCTGTCAACTTTGCTGGGTCATGATTCCCAGTATTGTATGATTGTGTACCATTTTGTGAATCTGATGTGATTTCATTATGTGTTGTAAACTCCACCACTATGATGAGGTTATATGTGATTTCTTTATGTATTGTAAATTTTATCACTATGATGAGGTTATACTGATGAGGTTTACAAGATTAGATAGTGTCTTAATCCAATCTCTTTTGAGGTATAAAAGAGAGAAGCCAGCAGAGACTCATGGGAACCTCATACCACTAAGAAAGCAGCGCCGGGAGCAGAGCGCGTCCTTTGGACCTGAGGTTCTTGCACAGAGAAGCTCCCAGACCAAAGGAAGATTGATAACATGGACCTTCCTCCAGAGCCGATGGGGAAAGTCTATCCCTGGCACTGATGCCCAGAATTTGGACTTGTAGCCTATCCACTTGTGGTATTTCTGTTAGAGCAGCACTAGACTAAGACAGCAGTTTTCCCTCTATTCTTGAAATTGAATAAACTGTTGAGCAGTCTAATACCTAACTGTAGCTCCAAAAAAATAGAGGCCACACAGTTTTCTAAGCAGGAAAATCAAATTGAAGGATGATGCCAATTGTTAAGGGTGAGGCCTTGGAGATGTTTAACTTCAGCAGTTCATGACACAGGAAGTAATAGTCAGCTGATCATCTTCACAAGAAGTTTAGGACTGACTGCAGCTTTGGGCTTTTGGAAAGATCACTTTTTACTGAAAGTTCACGAGTTCACAGGAATCCTGTAGAGATACAATGTGAGTCCTCCCTAGTGTATTTTAAACAATCCTCTGCTGAATTAAATACAGTAGGAGATGGGGTTTTCCTGCTCTGATTATATTGGCTTGAGATGGTTTGGGTCCTTTTGCGGGTCAAGAGTGAAATCAAACATAAAAGGACTGTAGCACTTTCAGTAAGAGGTGTTGCCATAATTCTTGGAAAAAAATACAATTCTGAGTGTCTTTACAGCTGATTTGTAGATCTCCAGATTTCTGTGACCCCCCAGAGTGTCATTTCCTGAGAGTTCCATGCACTGGACAATGCCAGTGGATACAAAAATGACTTTCTTCACTGTATCAGCTGGGGTATTTAATGGAAAAGCCTCCTCACTGCCTGAAACCTCCCAAAAGTTTGTAGTATTTCCAGAGAATTCTAGGCCTTGTCCTTAATATTCCTTATTCTTGCTTGTTGTCCAAGGTCAGCAGCCAATGTAATGGATTATTTGCCAGGGTAATGACTTCACTGATACCTTTGGAAATAGCTGGCACTAGCCATGGCCATGAAGAAATGAATGTCTCTCCATTGACATCTGTCTTACTGATGTGTTCTTTTAAAAGGGTTTCTGAGGACAATCCCTGTTGGCTTGCTTTCTTTGGGGTCGTTGCAACCCCCTGGAATCCTGCAGAAAATGTGTGAACACTCCGATCCAGTGTGACACTGAGTTGGGAAAAAAGAGTTCAGTGGTAAGCATCCTGAGGTCTTTGGGAATGCATACCTGGGAAGTGTCATGGCTTGGGTGAATGATGACACCAAAATCTGTCTTAAAGAGATATGATGACATAAAAATCATGTTCGATAGGATTATGCTAAGGCACAGCGGGAAACTCTTTGTGCCCAAACTTATTTATCTATTTCAAAGTGGACGCCCATTTTGATTCTTTTCACCTCTCTCCAGTGATTGAAAATACCTACCTCTCTCCAGTGACTGAAAATGCCTAACTGATTGATGTTTCTCAGATACATTCCTTGGCTGTTTTCCTCTTTATGTGTGACTTACAAAGACTTGCTGCCAAGAAATTCACCATTCCATGGATTCAAGGTGAATGATTCTATGTCATTATGACTGGTCTCTTCTGATATTTGGACAAGTGAATATGCAACCCAAAGGCAATTGGATTTTGTGAATCCGATGAGCCTTGTCGGTTCTTATTTTCTTGACTTTGGCTGATTCACTAGTGGCAGTGATCCTCATAGATGAATATTTAGGACTCACAGGAACTTGAAGAAATTTCAAGTTCAGTAATTTTTTATACCCTTCACCCTGTCTGATATGTTATATTGGATTGGGAGAAATGCACTACTAGACAGATGGGTTTTTCTAAAATTATGGGATGCAGATGACTAGGAGCTGTACTGCCAACACTGGTGAATTTCACATAATTTATTGCTTTACCTGTTGACGCTAAAATCTACAGTTCTACAGTGCAGCTGTCACATGAATCTTGAAATTGGATAAACCTGTGAGTAGTTGCAAACCTGACTCTAGCTCCTACACAAAGGAGGCTGCACAGCTTTCTCTGTAGGAAAGCCATAGTGAGAGATGACGCCAATTGTTATGGGTGAGTCCTTGGAGATGACTACCTTCAGCAGTTCAAGACACAGGAGAAGTCACGATCAGCTCTCCACAAGGAGTGAAATACTGCTGCCTTGTAGCTGCTGAAAGATCACTTTTTACTGAAAGTTCATGGGAATCCTGTAGGGATGTGTTGTGAGTCATATACTGTGTATTCTGAGGGATCCTCTGCTGGATGAAATACAGGAGGAGATAGGTTCTTCCTACTGTGATTATTTTGGCTTGAAATGGATTTGGTCCCTATCAGTGTCAAGAATGACCTAAAAAACACTAAAAGGACTATGTTACTTTCAGGAACAGGTCTTGCCATAATTTTTGAAAAAGACTATGATTCCAAGTGTCCTGGCAACTGATTTGTAGATCCCCAGATTTCTGTGACCCAGAGTGTCATTTCCTGAGAGTTTCCATGCACTGGACACTGGCAGTGCATACAAATATAAATTTCTTCACTATATACGCAGGAGAATTCAATGGAAAAGTCTCTTCTCTGCCTAGAACCTCTTGACAGTTTGTTCTATGTCCAGAGACTTCTAGCACTTGCTCTTATCTTGTTTGTTTCCTGTTTGTTGTCAATGGTCAGCAGCATACATAATGGGTTTTTTGAGAGGATACAAACTTGATCAATACTTTTGGGAATAACTGGCATGGGCCATAGGCATTAAGAAATCTACATGTCTCCCTTGAACCCTGTCTTAACACTGTGTGCTTTTAAAAGGGTTTCTGAGAACGATCCCTGTTGACCTGCTGTCCTTGGTGTCGTTCCAAACCCCTGGAATCCTACAGAAGATATGGAACACTCTAATCAAGATCGACACTGAGCTAGAAAAAAGACATCTGTGGTAAATATCTTGAGGTCTTAGAGGATGACTACCTGAGGAATGCCATGGCTCTGATAATGTGATAGCAAAACTTACTTGAAGAGAGGTGATGGCATAAAAATAATGCTCAACAGGATTACGCTGAGATGCAGAGGGAAAATCTTTTTGCCCAACCTTATTTATCTTCTTTAAAGTGGACCTCCATTTTGATTCCTTTTATCTTCATAAGTGATCAAAAACACCTAACTGACTGATGATTGTCAGGCTCATTCCTTAGCTCTTTTCCTCTTATTGTGTGATTTAGAAAGACCTGCTGCCCAGAAATTCACCATTCCAAAGATTCAAGACGAGTAATTCTACGTGGTTTTCACCGGTCCCACCTGGTGTTTAGACGAGTAAAGATGCAGCCTTAAGGCAGTTGGGGTTTGGGAAAAAGCTGAAATGTTACCCCTGTTTTTTTCTTGACCTTGACTGCTGGACTAAGTTGTGGTGATATTCATAAGTGAATATTTAGGATTCACAAGAACTTGGAACAATTTCAACTTGAATAATTTTTTATACCCTGGGTCCCAGTCCAATATGTCATATTGAATTGGGAGAAATGCACAACTAGACAAATTTGATTTTCTAAAATATTTTGAGATGTGAATGGCTGGGAGCTCTACCAGCCACACTGGTAAACTTCCCATAATTGAATGCTTGTGTCAGTTGCAGCTGGACCTTTAGGTTCTTCAGGGAAGTTTTCCCAAGAATCTTGGAATTGGATGAACTATTGAGTAGTCTGATACTTGACTCTACTTTAAAGAAAAAGTAGGTGCACAGACATGTGCATAGAAAAGTTAATGTGAGAGGGGATGCCAGTTGTTAAGGAGAAGGACAGGGACATGACTAGTTTCAGGAGTTAATATCACAGGAAGTCGTGATCGGCTGACCCTCTACACAGGGAATGCAGACATTATGGCTGTCTTCCACTTGTAGAAAAATCATTTTTCTTGACACTTCATTCGAATCCTGTAGAGATGTGATAAGACTCCTGCTCTGTGTATCCCAAGGATTCTCTGATAGTTGAAAACAGGAGGAGATGGGTTCTTTCTGTGGTGATTATTTTGGCATGAGGTAGATTGGGTCTCTGCATGGGTCAAGTGTGACATCACACAGTAATAGGACTATGGAACTTTTTAGAAGAAATGTTGCCTCGATTCTTGAAAAGCAATACATTTCCAAGTGTCCTGCCAGCTGATTCATAGATCCCAGGTTCTCTGTGACCCCCAGATGTCATTTCCTGAGAGTTTCAATGCACTGGACAATGCCTGTGGATACAGATATGGCTCTCTTCAATATATTTGCCAGGGCTAATCAATTGAAAAGCCACTTCTTGATGGAACCTCCTGAGAATTTATTGTACATCCAGAGACCGTTACACCTTGTGCTTATGTTGCATGTTTCTTGCTTTCAGTGGTCAACAGTCTCCTAAAAGTTTGCATGTGGGTGTCCTGATTTTATCCATACTTTTGGGAATAACTGCTAAAAGCCATAGCCATAAGCAAATGAACTTCTCTTCTTTGATCTCTGTCTTACTGCTTTGTCCTTGAAAAAGGGTTTGTGAGGTCAATCTCTGTTGTCTTGCTTTCATATGGATCACTCCAACTCTCAGGAAACTGGAAGTGGATATGCGAACACTCTCAACCAGTGTGATACTGGGCTGCAAGAAAAACTTTATAGTAGTATTTTGAGGTCTAAGAGGATTTATACCTAGGGATTGACATGGCTCAGGTCAATGATAACACCTAAACTTATCTTGAAGAGAGCTGATGACATAAAAATCCTGCTCAAAACTGGAGGACACTATGCTGAGTGAAATAAGTCAATCACAAAAGGACAAATATTGTATGAGACCTCTACTGTAAAAACTCATGTAAAAGTTACATACAAAAAGAAACAATCTTTGTTGGTTACAAGGGATGGGAGGGGTGGGGGGGGACTAAATAGACAAGAGATAAGTGGTAACTCTGCTGAAGGGTAAGACAGTACACAATACTGGGGAAGCCAGCACAACTCGTACAAGGAAAGCTCATGGAAGCTCCATAGACACATCCAAACCTCCTGAGGGACTGAATTGCTGGGTGGAGGGCTGTGGGGACCATGGTCTCGGGGAACATCTAGCTCAATTGGCATAACACAGTTTATAAAGACAATGTTC